AAACCGGGGCTTCTAAAAACACTCAAACCTCCAGCCTCTGCAATGAGCTGCCAGGATTTGCTTTCTGTCGCCCTCTGCAAGAAACGAGAGCTGGATCCTTCCCCGCCGGCTTCAAAAGGCAAGCCGCCCCGTCCTCCCTTTCCGATCTCTATCCGATAGGCCCAACCTTCCTGCAGCTCCCAAACCTGAGTCGTTCTTGGGGCTTCTTCAGCAGCGCAAAATGTCAGTAAGGTGTCAATGACTCTTAGAACCTTCTACATGCTCAACGAGACCTGGAACGAGGCTCAGCGCTGAAGCTGCGCCACCACCTCCTCCGCAGATCCATGCAGGTGCATGAGCAGAGCTTACATCCTTGGTCAAGGTGTAGCACAAAAGACGCTAAGATACAATATCTAAGAACGACGCAGGGAGGGGGAAAATTTTATCTGAGAACAAAACCTGCCAATGATATCATGCATCAAACGATCCAGCACCTCCACCTCCTCCACCCCACAATTCCAGGAAGATAGTCTCGTTGACGTCGCTTGTCCACTCGAAAGACTCATGGATCTCCGGTGGAGCGCTTGCTTCGTGAGCTTGTGTCAAGTCTCCAGCACATCGGATTGGCGCACCACTCCTGTCTCTAGCCTGGGGATGTGCAAGAGATGGCACGGAAAGACACCTCCTCTCCAAAGACATTTCCAGCAGAAGCTCCTTCGAAAGTAGCAATGCATCAATATCCTCAGCCGCAACAGAACCGCTGGTCCCCATGTCCATATCGTCGGAGAAGCAGGCTTGTACATGGCAAACAGCTGGCGTCACGGGCACACATCTTTCGAAGTAAACTCTCCCCTGTTGGCACTGGGAGGTTGCCTTGGGCTGCTTTGGAGCCGGCTCCTCAAAAGCGAGCTTTTCCAATTCAGTCTCGAGGCTCCCAGTTTTCGACTGCAGCCGTGCGATGTTCGCATCTCGGGCTTCGGTTGGTGCATCCATGCGGTCCAGGACGGAGTCAACGGTCCAGACTCCACAAACAAACAACACTGCAGCGAAAACGAAAAGGAGGCAGTACCGCCCGTGCTTGGACAAAGATCTTGCTTGTGCCTCCTCGTCTGTGATGTACATGTTGAACCCATCCATCAAGTCCATCTCTCTCGACTGCTCCATTTCGACTAGCTACGGAAGTAGCAATGATGCAACGCATGACACCGCATGAGAAGTGTTGCGAGCTGCGGCAATCAACTATCCTTATCAACACCATGTGGTTGCCAACATGCACTGGAACTTGATTCGGGATGAATCTTGGAACGCAGCTCGCGGTCGATCGGCCACGGAAGGCGTCAGCTAACAGAACGTCTCGACTCACCCCATGCCGAAAGCGCGTGAACCCATAAATCTCTCCCACAAGCTGCGGGAGCCTCTGAAGACCTATGGGGTCTCTATCTGTTTGTGGGCAGATGAACTGTTGGCCAGGCACCAGGACAAAGAGATCAATGAGGCCACCAGAAGGTCGGGAATCCATCTTCTGTTTTGCTGGGTCGCTCTTCTACTTTGGGGCTTGCCTGTAAACTCTGAAGACCTTAGAGCCGGAAAAACTGGCCCTAACACCAGGAAAAAAGCATCCCAAAACCCTGAACTCCACAGCCTTTCTGTGCTGTCAGGGAGCTGCCAGCTGCTGCTGGGGGGCCTGAGCAGAGTCTGCGTGCGGGAGCTCGGCTTCCACAAATTAGGCCTGACCAGGGTTTCGGGGGATTTGAGGGTTTGACGTGTTGGGTTTAGGGTCCATAGAGGGTCTGTGGAGGCGTTGAAGACAAAGATCGGCCAATAACTCGCAAGAGCATGAAAGCGTGGAACAGGTATTCAACGACCCGTACTAGCACGACGCAGAGCGGGTGCTCGAAGCTTCCACCCTTCACCCCCCCTTTACGACCGAAGCAATCTCTGCTGATCCTACTGTGCCATCAGTCCACGCGGCGCAGTCTGGTGACCGTTCCTAACTGTCGGGACGAGGTGCCTGCATTCCAGGCGCGGGCGGCTGCCCGGCGAACGAAGACCTCGGAAGAAACGGCCCAGGTCTGCAAGCCTCCAGGCCCAGGACGGTTCACTGCTTCGCCCGCTTCGCTGTTCCAAGTTCGGATCCGAGATGCGCTGCCCGTCCGTCTGGTCTGCATCCACAAGCTTGACCTGCACAACGTTGGGCGTTTTCGTGTCAGATTCCTTGTGTTGGCCTGTGTCGAGGCTTGCAGCAATGCTTCCGAGCCACGAATATGGCACCCAAGCTGCCGTTCTGTTCGTACCTTCTTAGGACGAGCTGGAAGGTATTCATTGGCGGCACAGGACGTAACCATGCCACTCTTGAGGAAAGGTGTTTCAGATCATGTTGCTGCTTTGCTGTGATTCGACATCCTCGAAAACGCGTAGCCAAGGCGCACAAGGAACTGCACTCGTCGTCCCTCTGGATCGTCAGGCAAGTCGGCTTCGGTATGATCGTGCGAAAACCACACCATTCCCGATGTTGGCAAGCCTCCCGACTGAGTCTGTGACAACGGAGAATCAAGCGACAATAGCAGTCAATAGCCATCTGGGGCCGATACAATCGTGTCTGATGTCATCATCCGGCAGTAGCCTGAATGAACATGTCCGCAGCTGAAAGTCCGTCTCAGAAATCCCATCTTAAAATGTCTTAATCGCCCAGGGACCACCCTTCCTCAGTCTCGACCGACCACTTGAAGATGACCCCTGTCCTGTCATGCGGAAACGACAGATTACTACGTTCTTCCGGAATATCATCATTCCATGGAGAGTCTGCCCAGCAAACCCTCCCTGCGGTCCACATCTTCAACGCGGGGGGGGCAACCAAGTGCTTGCGAAATCGGCCGCTCGATGTCCTGGCCGACCACGCTGATTGCTCTACAAGATCAGCGAGTTCAAATCCCTCAGCTCTAGAGCCCTCCAAAACCCGAAGCCGACGGTGCCTGCCCAGCTCCCGTTTCAGGTGGTCCCGCAGTTCTTCGTCCAGGCCCGGCCCCTTGGCCTCATCCGCCTGGTGCCCAGGTGGGTGCACACGGAATTTGAGGTAGAAGAGCTTAGGGTTCAGCAGTTCAAGGAACCACGATGCTCCAAGAACACAAGCGGTGTCACAAGAACGAAAAGCAATGACCAGAAAGATGCCGCTGATGTGAGGAGGAGAAGGCTCACGAAGAGTCTTTCGTGGCTGCCGTCTTGTGACAATGGGCCTCCGAAAGGGACTCACTGTTGGTGATTCGTCTGCGAAGATGTACGGAGGAGGCGATGGGATTATGGATGTAGGAGCAGGGAAGGCAACCAGTCAAACTGCTGAGAGGCTGAGAGATCATGTCACTAGCAAAGCTGCTCCCCCGGCAGCGTCAAGCGCATCCGACTTCCTGAGGAGGAGCGGTGGTGGGGCTGAGGATCCGGGGGGGTTAACCGGCTTACAGAGTGGATTTCCAGCTGCGTGGAGTCTGTTCTCGAAGTTTCCTGAATGAACTGGAAGCGCAACTGACTGCCAGGACCCGTTCCGCAGCATGGCAGGGTAGAATTCAAGAATCCGCAACGAGAAGGTGTTCCATGCACCCTGAAGCTGACCTGAAACCCCAAGCCCCGCGAAGAGGTTGGTGCGAAGTCGACTCATGTCGCGGCAGGCCACCATGTAACCGGGTTTAAGGGTTCTCGGACCAGACTTTGCAACGCAGCGGTCAACAACCTCCACCGCCGTGTCAGCTTATCTTTTCTGGCACGCTTTTAATCTGGACTGTGTGAAGGGACTTAATCAAGCAGCATGGCTACGACTTGCGGCCAGGCGTGAGAAGTAAGCTTCCGAACCGCCCCTATGCACTTTCTTAAACGTGACACGAGAACTGGAGCTTAGGCTCGCATCTTCCTCCATGTCCGCCTTGACTTCGTCCGACCTCGAACCAAAAGGGCAGAACAAATCTCCGAAACCGCAGCCAAAAGAGAAAGCGCCGAACCTAGAAGTGATCAGACATCGGCAAATGCAGTGCAAGGCACTCGACGTCCGCAGGGAATACTTCAGCCCTGGGACAATGATTCGTCTCTTTCGTCTAATTGAGCCGCCCAATATTGTCTATGCAATGCCAACGCACACGATACTGCGTGACAGCCCCGCTAGCTCACTAACTTGTCTTGCGCAGCTTGCCGCGGCTTGTCTCCGACACAATCAACAGGTAGCGCAGCATCCGTGTCAACGCGCTTCTACGAGTTTGATTGTGCACCCACACCGTCTTGATCGATGCCTGTAAGGCAGCCTCCACAGAACAACATAGTATGCACAGCCTGCACTCTTCCCCTTCTACTTTGGTTGCCTGTTCGGAACTTGGCATAGTTTGTTTTGCGTTGCCGCTTTCGGGCGCAGAGAAGCAGGCCCTCAGGCAGATGTCTGTTTGCATCAGTAACAGCCCTTTTCAACCGGCGGCCCATTTGCCAATCGGAAGGCTCCAGAGGTATCGCCAACTATGTAGGCTCAATCTAGCTTGGATTCCAGAGCATGTGTACCCTGGGAGGTCAGGGAAAGCGAGTATCATAAGTTATTTCGCCGTATGGTTTAATGTGGCACGGTACAATGTGATAGACTAGCATGCATTGCAGCGAAAGTCACCCATGCAATTCATCATCATTGATCATAGACAAAGCACGATCCGCACGAAAATGAAAAGACTAATCAGCAGCAACTGAACCAATGCAAATACATTAGCATCAACTCTATCGAGACTCTGCTCGTTGGCCTTGCCCGCCCTGCACATTCTCGCAACAGAATCTCCAAGACCCAATCCCAAACCCTACGTTGCACCTCAAGACCCCTAAACCGCAAACCCACAACCTTGATTCTCGAAAGGGCGATTGAGGAAACTCGCCGATGCCTCCCATCCGCAACGCAGGCGCGCTCCGCTGCAAGCATCCTTGAAAGAGTGTGCAGGCTCAACTAAATCCTCCTCAACCGCAACCTAGACCGCAAAACTCCTAAACCCTTAATCCCAGACCCTTAAACCCCAAGCCTTAGATCCAAACCCTAGAGTGGGCGAGTTTTGAGTGTAAAGCTTCAAGGTCTTCTCAATCGCGCTCACGGCTCCGGGCCATTCCAAGTTTCAGCTTTAACCTGCAAGAGCATCTCAAGCCTGAGAGCATGCTCGACGTGGATTGGGTTTGTTGGAAAGGACCCTTCGGAAGATTTTGCAGCTTTGTTGAAAAAGCCGCAGCCCCACGTTCTACTGGAGAAGGACTCCAGAACATAATCCTGTCAATTGCAAGATGGATCAACTGCTCATCCGTCAGATTCGTCGCTCAGACTTCAATTTCTCAACGACGAATGATTCGTGTTGCCGTTTACATGCATGGCTATCGAATTTCGCACGTCTTCCCACATCTTTTCGCCAGGGCATGGATCTTTGTATGTGGAGGAGAAGCTGCACATCATCATGTTTCGAAGCTGCACGACTGCACGACCGGCTGCAATGTCCTTCGATTGAAGCTGGCCGGTGGACACAGAAGATCATGGACCGACGACACTTCGCAGAATGCCTGAACCGCCGAAAGCATCTCATTGCTGCTGCACATTCACGGCAAGATTCTTTGCAGTCTCGGGAAGCTCATGCGTACCCGTGGCGGAGGTCCTGCATCGGGAAGTATGGCCAATTCCCAGTCGTGCGCATTGTGTTTCATGCTGTTCGTTGCCGCCTATGTAATTTCCCTGAGTCCCTTTTCGCTTGGGATGCTGGTCTTCCGGCTTCGTGCTGGAAACTTATTCGTGCCGCCTATTTATGATGTTGCTGTCGCCTTGTGTGCTTCCCTGGCTTCTGCTGTGTCTGCTGCTCAAGAGTGACTCGGGAGTAGCTTCGTCTTAACTATGTTCGCACTACAGCAAGCTTAATGTGCCCTTGGGGAAGTTAAAGGCAATCTCCATCCCTGCAGCCCGACTCTTCGGAAGAGCTGATCAAAACACGCAATGCTTGGGCTTGCGGTGTTCTTTGGATGATATACCCCCAGCTTCATATCCCCGAACCCCACCGTTCCATGCAACGGGTTGGGCACTACCATCCCAGATCCAAATCCACCAATGCAGCTCATGCTCGTGTTGAAGCGTAAGTGCTTGTGCCACTCTGTCAGATTGTCCCACTCTGTCCAGACCCTCCATGCTCCTGGTGTGGCCGTTCGCAGTTCTGCTCAGCACGCGCGGCGGGACAGTTTGCGGCTTCCGCCGCAGAGGTGCTCGCCCGTCCTCCACATTGCGACGAAAAAGTGAAGCTCCGCAAGCACAATGCCGAAGTCCTAATGTGAAACCGTCAGGTAGATGCTCTCAACCCACGAATCTGCAAGCACGTGTCAGCAATACACTCTGCGAGGTGGAACAGTCGCAGGAACACTGTCTGATGTTGCTTTCGAAGGCTGATACATGGCAACTGACATCGCATCATCAAAAGGGGCATCGGCACGAGTATAACTTTTGAAGATCTTGCTGCCGAGGGTTGCAGCGCTCGGGGCAAAGAGCAGTTCTCTGGCTCCTCTCGGCTCCGGCTTCTGCTTCGCGTCCTCGCCACTGGCACACCGAGCGTGCCACAGCGAAGGCAGTCATCCTCCTGAACAGAGCAACTGACTGTGCTTAGCAAGGCGTGTTCATGATGACTGACGATGGTTGCTGGAAGGTGTTGATGATAACAGATAACGACAACAGCACTGCCAGTCAACGTAACAGCTAGCTAGAAATACGAACTACGTACAATCACGAGGGTAATCTGCGTCACCACCACAATTCCCCGTCATCATCTGCAGCAACTAGCAGCCGCAGCGGCAGCACCAACAGCGCCATGCTCATCATCCTCATCATCAGCATCATTGGGCTGGACAGACTGAAAAGACGGCACACATCTGCGTCCAATTAACAAAAAATGCGAAGATGGCAGGTGACTGACATAAACCTCAAGTCACCAATCCTGGGCCCCTGAAGTCTAAGCGTAGCCAGACTGCGTACCGTCTCGGGTGCGTACTTACGCCTTACGCTTTAAGTTTACGTTATGGTTGGGAAAGCAGTCAGCCCCACACCCTAAGGCATTGCGTCCGGATCAATCAGCAAGGTGAAGGTGACGCGCGTGCCGATGGGAGGCGAGGAGCGAATCTGCAGGTCCTCCATGCTGTGAACTTTGGCCGCGCTTAGTGCTCGTTGGTCAGGGCTTGGGGAATTTAGGGTCATGTTTAGGGTTTATAATACGGCTGTGGGATATCGGCGTTTAGAGGTTTAGAGTTTAGGATGTACTAAGGCTGAAAGATCGAGGGCAACAAATTTCGGCGCATTCAACATCAGGGTGCAGTCCGCCGCGCCAAAGAACGCCTTGTCTTGGTCGAGATACGGCTGCTCCAGAGTGACACACCTGGCAACTAGACAAACAAATCACAGACCCAGCTGCAGCCCAACAAAACAGCTAATGGTTATCGACAAGCTCACGGCACTCATAGAATCTTAGAACCCATCCGAGCAATTATAGATGTCTAGGACAGATACCGCATATCCACCGGCAATTGAACATCCTGACGCAAGACAGTCTCACAAAAAAACACTGCGGGCTGCCCGGAACGATCGTCGTTGATCTCATCGATACGGCCGCTGTGGCGCTGCGCTTCCTTTTCTGGATCGAACTGATGTTTCGCTCTACTCTGTGGACTTGGATCGTGACAGCTGACCAACTCGAGGTCAGCAATAATCCGAGGATCTCAGACAGGCGGTCGAAATCATGCGCGACACACAGACACCCACCATCTTGACAGTTCGAACCTGAAAGAGCTGTGCTTGAGTCTGCTAACAACATCTGCGTTCACACCAATGTCCGCACCTTCGAGCCTGAACCGTGACCCTTCTAGACGTTTCACTTGAGAATGGAAACTGTCAAGGCTAGTTGCTAGTTGAATGGGCCCTCTGTAGCCCTATCCTTTCTTGCTGATATACCCAAAATTACTCAGATGTGGCTCCTACTACTGGCAAAAACAAACATCTGAAGTTGTCAACAACGAACTGATGGGAGGCCTCTTTGACGGTCCGATCTGGCAGCGGTCTTGGCAGTGGCATCGCAGCAGCCGGTCAGGCCATGAATGCCAAAATAGGAGAAACTCAGGGCTGAGTGCTTCAAAGGCTTTCGCCCCGGGCTGTGGACTCCAAGCTGATCCAGGTCTCTGCCCTGGGCTTCTTGCATACCAAAGCCCCGATGGTCAGATATATAAACTTGTCAAAGTCTTAGACAGATGGCGATTGCTCGGGTGTCCTTGTGGACCACCACCCTGCCCTTTGCAAAAGCGGAGTCACTGCCGAAGCAAAAAATATTGATTTTTTGCTTCGCACCACGCTTCTTCGTGCTTCGAGCCAGGGCGATGGCACGCAAGGCTTCAGCGTTGAGTTATGTTATGTGGATGCAGTGCTGAAGGATTGTCGACGGCTTGCTGAAAGTTCAAATTCCGTTTTGTGGGATTGAACTCGAAAGACCCCGAACTCAAGAGCATAAAGATAGTCTAATGATACAGGACGGTCAAACCACTTTGCCACAGCCGAAGAGCCTTCAGCAGTCGCGCCAGCCAGGGTATGTACCGTAACGGCTGTAGCCAAACCAAGGGCACCTGGACAGCTCACACCGCAGAAAACTCTGTCTCCAAAAGCTTGCAGGTTTTCGGATGGTTTTCGGCCTGCTGTAGTTGCTAGGGAGCTTCTCAGCTCAGCCTCGGGCTTAGGTCATGGTGGGCCTAGCCCTGTCTTGATGAGAGCTGTCTTGGGAGGACGGGTCTACCTGCAGACACATCATATTTCTGACTGTACTTGTTGCAGTCATAATGCGGGCAAACGCTTATCTGACATCCTGAGGCTTCTGCCTCTAAGCACACGAGCCGCATTTCCCCAACCAGCGCAGTATCGTCAGGAGAAGAAAATGGGCAGACAATGTGGCCCTGGAGCAGGCGACATCCAAGAAGACGGCATGAAACCCTGACCAGAAGTCATGCGAGAAGCGGCGCTAAAAGCAGTGAACCCCTGGGTACAGTAGTACATCAGCACCAGAGCCTCCAAATCAGGCTTCAACCATGACACCTCTGGCTTCACCGGGGCCCCAAACGTTGAGTGGCCCGGAGGGAGGCTGAAGCGGTGGCTCAGGCTCCTCGAGTCTTGGCGTAGGACTTGGGCTGAGAAGGAAGCATCTTCTGTTTCGGCAGAACCTGAAACCCCAAGCACCCGGGTTGATCTCTGAGGCTTTGTCGGCATCGCAGATCTCTTGCATAAAGACATGACACCATTGCCCGGAAACAGCTCGAAGTCTTGTTCGACCAACAAATGGTTCCATATCCCTAACCCTAAACCCTAAACCCTTTGTACAGATCGAAACTTCGCTCACAATGATCTTATGCGGCTCGAGCATGGCTGGCCTGACCACGCTTGCGTGGAGGTGCCTGCCTGAGCACCGGCAGCGGCAGCAGGAGGGATACTCTTAAAAGGGCACCAGCAGCAAGAATCATGAGCATCCGAACGGAGTCTTGACCAAGAGAAGACCAATCGAGAGCATCAGAAGCAGGAGCGAGCATCAGGAGCATCAGAAGAGAAACTTTTGACCAATGCGGCGGCAGGAGCGAGCATCAAGAGGGGAACTTTTGACCAACGCGGCAGCGGGAGCGAGCATCAAAGGGAAAATCGTGATCAACGCTGCAGCAGCAGCGAGCGTCATGAGCATCCAAGGCAATTTCTGGATTAACCTTGCAGCGGGGGCGAGCATCATGAGCATCAAAGGGAATCTCTGGACCAACCCGGCAGCGGGGGCGAGCATCATGAGCACCAGAATTCTGGACCAGCAACAAACCAATAGGAAGCATCATGAGCATCCGAAAATTTACCACCACAGCAGCGGGCATGCGCATCAGAAGCGAGACTGGTGACCAATCGAGAGCAGTATGAGCATCAGCAGGAAAACTTTTGAGCAGCAGGGTAGCCCTGTCAAGCCTCGTGAGCATCGGGAGACTCTTGACCAACAGAAGAAAAATCGAGAGCATCATGAGCATCAGAAGAGAAGCTCGTGAGCAACTGAGAGCGTCATGAGCTTCATAAAGAAGACTGTTGACCAACGGAGCAGCTAGACACAAAACAAACTTTTTATCGACGGGGGAACAGCATCAGAAGCGAGCCCGATGACCACCATAAGAGCAGTCGAGAGCATCATGAGCATAAGAAGTAAGCTTGTGACCACCGAAAGACCAATAGAGAGCACCATGAGCATCAGAAGCAAGGCTTTTGACCAACGGAAGACCAAAAAGAGCATCAATAGCATCAGAAGGAAGGCTTTTGCACAACAAGAAGCCCCAAAGAGCATCATGAACAGCAGATGGAAAGCTCCTGAGCAACAACAGACCAACACAAAGCATCCTGAGCATCAGAAGGGAAACGTTTGAGCAACAAAAGACCAGTACAAAGCATCATGAACATCAGACTGGAAGCGTTGGAGCAACCAATAAACCAATAGAGAGAGCATCATGAGCATCAGAACGGAGGCTCTTGAGCAACAAGAACCTAAAACAGCGCATCATAAGCATCAGAAAGCAACAACAAACCAACAGAGAGCATCATCAACATCAGAAGGGAGGTTTTTTTACCATTAGCAAGACCAACACGGAGCATCATGAGCATCAGAAGCGATGCTTTTGACCTTCAAAAGACTACAAGGCAGCATCATGAACATCAAAAGCAACAACAAAAAACAGTACAACCCATCATGATCATAAGTAAAACGTTTGTCCAACAAAAAGAAGAAAAACAAGAGCATCATGAGCATCAGAAGGGAAACGAACCAATAGAAAGCATCAAGAGCATCAGAAAGGAGGCTTTTGACCAACGGAAGACCAACAGAGCGCACTATGAGCATCAAACGCGACATGTTGGGTACCCAACAAAGAACCAAAACAGAGCATCATGAGCATCAGAACGGAGGCGATTGACCTTCAA